GGCCTGAATAGGGAGTCAATCTATCAGCGCTTTAAAGACGCAACCAGAAAAGAGTAATAAAAACATTTAACTGAAAAACAAAACTTTTAGTTGCACATTTTGTTCCTTACAGTTCATGTAAATGAATGGTTTGCCATTGCCTTCCAAAGAAATGAAGAGTATTCCATCACATTCCTAACTGGTGCCTTGTAGATTATGGAGAGGATTTGGTGAGTCAGTAGATGAGGTAACTGTCCATGGAATTTCCACCCTTTGACCTGTTCTCATCAGCACACGAGTAAATATTGTCCTTTCTTCATCCTCCTTTCTGAGGATTGAGCTGTGGACTTTCATTGGATTTGTTCGTCCTAGTGGTAGAAGTATCGGGGCAATTTGAATTGCCTTCTGTAGGGATGGTTGACCAGGTTATACTTCCATTCTTATGGCCTGACATCAGATATATTGGCAGGATTTATAGGCTGATACTCAACCAGTTTGGCCACATTAGGAACACGAAGTCTGTGACCAATAAGTGGCCAAGTGTTCCCCTCCAAGCCATGTACCACCCAGACTTGGAAAGGGACTGTTCCTTCAGTCACGGGGTCAAAATCCTGTAACTCCTTCTCTAATGACACTGTAGTTCTACCTACACCAAATGGACTGCAGCGGTTCAAAAAGGCAGCTCACTACCACCTTCTCAAGAGCAACTTGGGATGGGAAATGAATGCTGGTCCAGCCTGCGATGCCCACATCCCATGAAGTGAATAAAAAAAGATACGGATGTCAGCACTGCACCACTAGAACTCCATCACAATTTGTGGCTGGTCTAATTTCTGGTCAATGGAAACTGAAAGTGAAGAATTCACAAAAGATGTTGTCCACTGCTGCTCAAAGTCAAGATGGGTTCAATTTTGTCTTTGTCAGAAATGGTGGGTTAAGAAGGTGATCTCTACCAAGGTCACTATTAGAGCAAGAAAGCAAAAAAGTGGCGCTTAAATTTTCTAAATATAACAAAAAAAACAAGAAAACATAGGAAGACTCTCACGTGCTGTATGTAAGAAATACAAAAGTGAATGTAGTAAAATTGTTAAAATTAGAACAGAACCAGAGTTCAAGGGGTACATATTGTCAATAAAAGGGTCAACACTGAAGCCTAGTGCAAATGAAAAGCCTAATAGCTTGTTTTCTGAATATAACGGAATGAACTTCAGCATGTGGACATTAAAAAAAATTACAACAGGAAGATTGAGAGAAGCTTAGTTAGAACAGATTTTGAAGTCAAGGTCTTCATTCTGCACATTCTCAATTTGATCAACACTTGGAGATCATCCATCTAGGTTTAAGTAAAGATACAAACTTCAGCACACAGCAAATAATGATTCAAGGTTTAGTTAAACCGAGATAAAAATCCATTTCATTTGGGACAGAGTTCATATTTATTTTTGTTTAAATTCTGTCAGCGAAATATTTGCGTACAAATTTACAACACATACATCAAAAATACCAGAAAATAGCACTACCTTAATACACAAGTATTCAAATCAACAGTCAATACGCAAAGAAATCAGGTGCTGTTGTTTTTATTTAAAAATAACAAATATTTTAAAAGTCCTTTTCGTACTTTCTCAACACAAAGATGAGTATTTTAAAACATTTTAAATGTATAAATCAAAGCCAGAGCCATTATTTGAAAAATTGCAAGAAATTCACAACATAAATATTGGCTCAATGAAGATGCAGGAGGGCACACCTGGAGTAAAACCATGCACAACTTTTTGCTTGCCAAACAGCATAAACAGTAAATGATGGATAGAATTAAGTGATTCCACAATGGACCAGATCTAAGCTCTGCAGTCCTGCCACATCCAGAGGTGAATGGTAGCAGACCATAAACAACTCACTCGAGAAGATTGTTACACAAATATCTCCATCTTCCACAATGGGGGATGCCAGCACGTCAATGCAAAAGATAAGGCTGAAGCATTTGCAACAATTCTCAGCCAGAAGTGCCAAATGGATGATCCCTCTCAGATTCCTTCAAAGGTCTCCAGCATCTCTCAGATGCCAGCCATTAGTCAATTCAATTCAATTCAATTCACTTGATATCAAGAAATGGATGGAGGCAATCGTTACTGCAAAGGCCATGGGCTCTGACAGCATTCTGGCAACAGTACTGAAGACATGTGCTCCAAAACTTTCACATCCCTAGCAAAGCTGTTCCAGTACAGCTACAACATTGGCATTTATTATCAATGTGGAAAATTACCCATGTATGTCCTGTACACAAAAAACAGGTCAAATCTAATATAGTCAATCACCATCCCATCTGTCCACTCTCGTTCGTCAGTAAAATGATAGAAGGTACTATCAACAGTGTTATCAAGCAGCATCTGCTCAGCAATAGCCTGCTCAGTGATGCCCAGTATGGGTTCTGTCAAGGCCACTTAGATCCTGATCACATTAGCCTTGGTTCAAACATGGAGAAAAGAGCTGAATTCCCAAGGTGAGGTGACAGTGATAGCCCTTGAATCAAGGCCATATTTCATCAAGTGTGGCATCAAGAAATTGATGGCAATCAGGGGAAAAACTCTCCACTGGTTGGAGTCATATCTGATACAAAGGAAGATGGCTGCTGGAGGTCAATTATCTCAGGTCCAGGACACCTCTGCAGGAATTCCTTAAGGCAAAGTCCTCTGCCCAAACAGCTTCAGCTATCTCATCACTGACCTTTCCTCCATCATAAAAGCAAGATGTGGGCATGGTCACCAATATTGGCACAATATTCAGCACTATTCATGACTCATCAGTTACAAAAGCAGTCCATGTCCAAATGCAGCAAGACCTGCACAATGTCTAGGCCTGGGCTGACAAGTGGCAAGTGTCATTAATGATACAAATGGCAGGCAATACAAATTCCAGTGCCTTTGACATTCGTGGTGCTACCGTGGTTGAACCCCCAACTCTCAATGCCCTGGGGATTGCCATTTACTAGAAACTGAACTGGACTAGCCATATAAATACAGCGGTTACAAGAGCAGGTCAGAAGTTGGGAGTCTTCCAGTAACTAACTCACCTCTTGACTCCCCAAAGCCTGTTCACCTTCCACAAGGCAAAAGTCTGGAGTCTACAGTTCCCTGAAAGTGGCAATACAAGTGGATGAGGTAGTCAAGAAGGTATATCGCACGCTTGCCTTCATCAGTTGGGGCATAGAGTATAAAAATTGGCAAGTCATGTTGTATAGAACTTTAGTTAGGCCACATTTTGAATACTGTCTACAGTTCTGGTCGTCACACTATCAGAAGCATGTGGAGGCTTTGGAGAGGGTATAAAAACGGTTTACCATGATGTTGCCTGGTTTGAAAGTATTAGCTACACGAAGAGATTGGACAAACTTGGTTTGCTCTCAATTGAACTTCAAAGAATGAGGGGTGACCTGACAGAACTTTACAAAATTATGGCAGGCAAGGATAGAATGGATAATTGTTGGTTTTTTTTGCAGGGTAGAGATTTAAATTAATGGGGAACATGGATCAAGGTAAAAGGGGTTACGTTTAAAGGAGATGTGAGGCAGGTTTTTACAGAGGGTAGTGAGAATGTGGAATATGCTGCCAGAGGAGGTGGATGCAATGGCAACAGGATGTTTAAGAGGTATCTTGAGAGATATGGGAACAGGAAGGAATTGATTGATACAGACAGCATAGAGGTAATGTGGGGGCAGTCTTGGTGGGCCAAAGGGCTTGTACCTGTGCGGTGCTATTCTTTGTTCTCTTTGTGAGAGAATACACCACATTTGCCTGGATGGGTACAGCTCCAACACTCAAAAAACTTCACACCATCAAGAACAAAGCAACCCACTTGATTAGCACCACATTCACAAACATCCATTCCCTCCACCACCAGAGTTTAACGCCGTGTACTATCTACAAGACGCACTGCAGAAATTGACCGAAACATCTTTGACAGCACCTTCCAAACCCATGACCATTTCCATCTAGGAGGAAAACCGTATATATATTGGGAACACCAGTACCTGCGAGCATCCCTCCAAGCCACTCACCATCCTGACATGGAGATTTATAGCCATTCTTCAGTGTCACTGGGTCAAAATCCTGGAATTGTCTATCAGCATTGTGGGTCTGCCTACAGCAACTGGATTGCAGGGGTTCAAGACGACAGCTCACCACCACCTTCACAAGGGCAACAAGGGATAGGCAATACTAGCCCAGCCAGCAGTGCCATTTCCCGTAAGCGAATTTTTTAAAAAATCAGTTTTATAACAAAAATCAACCTTTTGCACAAACAGCAAAGTAGATGCATGTAGCACAAAACAGAACAGAATACATAAATAGGTTGACAAATTAGAATGCTCATAGCTACTATATTTGGACAAATGTATGCAACAATATTAAATTGAGTCATCTTACTAGATGACGCTTACCAATGATTTTAACATTACAATTTGCTTTACAGATGCAGTCCTCAGACAAGCAAGAACCTGAATAGAATGCTTGTTTCATACTAAGAGACATGTACTTGCACTTGTTGCTCAGATATTACTATTATATAAGGCTTTTCTGCAATGTGGAGTGTTAATATTTATTTGTTAATAAACAAAAGTCACATTTTCTCTTTCCATTGCTGTCTTGCTGTATAAAACTCCACAGAACCCATACCAAACCATTTCAGTCTCTACAGATTTAGACAATTTGGTGCAAACAGCTAACAAAGTAGATGATATTAGCCATTCTGAAAACAGATTTTTAAACAAAAAAATCAATCCTTTATAATGGCTATCAGTGTTTTGGAGAAATGTTTAAATGTGCATAGAATCCTGTTGGTCTCTTTTCTGCCAATTAGTTAATTACACAAGGAGCAGAAAACATTTAGTATTACAGTTTTAAAAGATCCAATATTTTATTCTAATTTTAAAAAATATGAATAACATGTTTAAAGTAACCATGAAGAAGTCAATTACATGAAATAAAAAGTAGATAAATCAAATGCAATAACAATTTTGATGATAAATAGAGCACACCTTTCAATAGATGTCAGACAACTATCGATTATGACTGGATTTCCCATTGCTATAACTGTATTAAATTTAATTTGTTTTATACTGGTTGAAGCAACATTCAAAAGTATCTTTAATTTTTGTTACGTGGATGTTTCCCATAGCAGTCTTAAGAATTTATTATTTGGACTGTAAAATTGAAGGGCATAATGTAATTCATTCAGAAATACTAAGTAGACTTAAAATCTGGATTGCCACAAGGCATATAGGTGTATTTGTTAATAAACTGCACTAACGGCAGAGATTAGAGCATTAAAAATTATTTTCAATGCACTACAACCTCATCCTGTTGGCTTTACAACATTTTACTCAGATTCTCACTTCACCTTTGATGGGATACAGCTCCTTGACCTCTGGTAACTTAGTTAGTACACCCATTGTTATTTTTTCATGTTGAACTGTGGAGGACTAGATAATCAGTTTTCTGAATAGCAACCAACGAAGACTTGAGCAGAATTTATTCTCCTACCCCGACAAAAGTCCAATCAATACATGAGGTAAGATTTGGTAACTCAACAGGAATGTTCTAGCCTCTACAGATTAGTGTTATCTAGGCTCCAAGTTCTGACATTTCCTCCTTAAAACTGTCTGTCTCTCACCTCCTTAAGGAGTCCCTTTAAATTCTCCCCCGATCAGGTTTTTGGCCATCGATGTCAAAACGTCCTTCTGAGACTCAGCTTCAGACGTTTTCTAATAAGTCTCCTGAAATGACCTTGCGAGATTTACCACGTTAAAAGAGGGTATACAATGAAAATTATTCATTATTTTTCTTATACTTTTACGGAAGGCATCTCTTTTCAAAGGGATTAGATAACAGTTCTGCCTTTACTAATTTTAAATGCTCACAGATCGGATATCAGCTTTGTGAAATGATGATTGCGCATTTTTAAGGATCCAGTCTCTCCAATATTCTGTGGTAAGAGGTCACATTCAGAGTAAGAGATATCCAATTCCAACAATGTCACTCAATTACCAACAAAAACAGAAATTTCTGGAAAATCTCTGCAGGTCTGGCAACATCGTTGAAGAGAAATCAGAGTTAAAATTTCGGGTCTAATGACCTTTCTTCAGAACTGAATGTCATTCAATTCTCTCTTAAAAGAAGAGCTCCATACAATATAGATATGGCATTTTCAATTCTCTACCTCATATGCTCTTCACCCAAGTAAAACTGCCAGATTTTGCAGTGTCGTTTCACAGGCAGGGGCTAAATTTGGCTAGTAACCAAACTTACTCTATGGAGTTGGAAAGGTCTTTGTCAATCACAGATCCCGGTCATCCATTAGATCCGTATCCCAGTCACAAAAGAAAAAGCAGCTACCAGGTGGTTCCCAACTTCCAAACATTCATACTTATGAACAAGATCCTATATTACTATTACTTTTAAGAATCCAACATGTGAACATTAGGTAGTGCTTATGAACAGATGCATTACACCATCTTGTATTGCGTTCTGACTTGTGCACAAATTGACTTACGAACATACTGAGGAACAGAACCCATTTGTAATCCAGGGACTGCCTGTAACTTAACCACTTTATTCCCCTGTTGTTTTGTATTGATTGTTGATTCCACGTCTTGAGGATTTTTTTTTACACCAAAAAGCTTTACAACTATAGTGCATTTAAAAGTTTTGTATGGATAAAAATTTAAATTATTTCAGCAATGGCTATACACTTCTATAAAAAAAACTTGCAATTATATGTAATGCAGGGCAAAAGCAGCAGTTCACCACCACCTTTTTTAGGGCAATTAGGGATGAGCAATAAATGACAGTGATGCTCACATCCCATGAACAAATGAAAAAATTCAAAATTATTATTGGATTTTACTGACAAAGTTTGCTATCTATGGACAAAAGTTTAGGTCAAAGTGATCTTATTATTGGTTAAACAAAATGCAAAAAAAAGGGTAAAATGGGCTCATTGTTCTCAAAGTAGTAGGTAGACAGCATTTATTTTCTATTTTCAATTCTAATAGGCACATTAAAGTGATCAAACTGAAAAAAACCTATATGTAACCAGAACGGATTCATGGTAAAAGTAGAACATGAATAAAATTGTAGTTCCTTCATGTCATTCTTTAAACAAATAAGCATTGCACTAGAAACCAAGAAAAGATGATAACGATGATGATTGGGCAAAAATTGACAGGATATTCTCTGGTTGATCGCTATCCCACATCCCTGACATTTTCTGTGATGAATGATCGGTAAAGCCCGAAAACTCAGAACCACTGTTTTCACTAGTTTGAAATAATTCCAGCAAACTTTTCAATGGCAAGTTGGTAGCTTCACCTTCCTCTATCAAGCACCTCTCTTTTGCAAGAGAACTTATTTCCATTCTATGATCTTGAGCCTTCTTTTTATTTCTTCCATAAACAGCTGAAAATCTCACTTTTCGATGCAGTTTTGTACAGGGTGAAGAAAATATAGTTGGAGGAATTGGACCCAATTCAGTGTTTTGATGTGCAGCTAAATTAAACGAAGGTACTATTATATTATGCATCAATTCTTCACTTCTTCCCTTGCCAAAAAACAATTGTGTCTGTACAGGGCTGCATGAACGTTCAATAGGGGCTGCTGCAGTATCACGTGGATCATGATCATTTACCCTAGAATGCTTGGGAACATGCAGGATTGGACTTTCCAGTTCTTTGCGCTTATGTTGCAAATTATTTTTGGATGACTTATGTAGCCCAGTTTTGATTTCATCACTGTCAGAACATACAGTGGAATTTGGTTGTGACCTAGTCTCACACACATCCTGATCAAACGGGTGCTTACGCGATGATTCTTCGGTGACAGATGGAGAGCTCTCAACTGGTAACCTTCCAAGGTGATGCAATTGTTCCGACATACAGACTTTTGAAATTATGGAACTACCTTTGTCCCCTTGGCACAAAGATAAACTATGCCAGCTTGTTTCTTTTTTCTGATTTTCAAAATTAACTGCAGGTGTTCCTTCCCCAAAGGACTTTTTGTTAACAAAAGTGGACAGAAGTAGCATTTCAGAAATGCTAACATGACTTGGTGTAGACAAAGGTAATATCTGGCTAGGCGAATTCAGGGTACCTGAAGATACAATGTCTTTTCCTTGGAAAGACAAAGTACTTTGCTTAGTTTCCCATCCACTGACATTTTCATAATCCTTTGTGTTGCACATTATTAAGGATTTATTTCCTTCCACATGCTCCTTATACGGTCTTCGAAATTCTTCATGTATTCCTGCAATACTTATCTTGGTGAAATCATAGGTGTTTACACCAATACTGCACTTTGTCCTAAACATAAACAAAACCCTTTTGTTAAAATAGGAGAATGAAAATGTCCAATTATTTCATTAATCAATTAAATATTCATAAGTGACAGAACACGGATTTATCACAAAATGGCACAGTAGACTTACTGATCTGTTTTGCCACTGTGAAGGGCACAATGGCTAGATAGTTTGATTTAAAACATATCAATAAATTCAACGCTTTTAAATAAAGAATAATTTAAAAGTAATCAAAACAATCTAGATCTTCTCTTTGGAAGATGACAAATCAGTTGTGTTGCTCCAGCATTTTCTTTCTTTGGCAACTAAAACCAGTATTACAAAGGGAAACATGAGTACAGAAATACGAAATGTAGATAGAAAAAAAAACTTAGTAGTACATTAAATCTATAGCAAGTTAAAGATCATCTGGACAATTTAAGCACTAAATTCAATTTAAAAATCTGTTAAAAGTGTTTTCTCACAACAGTCAACATTAATAAAGACAAAATACGATGGCAGTTATTTTGGCACAGAATTTTTAACCACAAGGTTTTTGAGTTCATTATTACAAGAGAAAGAAGCTCCCTGCCATAGACTCAGTTCTGTAAAATTGCTTTTCCCACCATTTTAAATGGATTATTAAATTCTGTTTGATGAAGAATCCCAAGATATTAATATGTATAAGATTATGGAACCACACAGGACATGACCTAGAATGAAAAATCACATTTATATACAATCTTTAATATAAAAAACATTCTTCGGTGGAGAAACAGACAAATATAATGAAAGGGCTAAGAAAACGATCAGAACTTAAGAAATACGAGCAAGAGTTGAACATTTGGCACATTCAGCCTGATCTGCCATTCAATATGATCATCATTGATTTTTAACTTATGCTCCAGTCTTAAATACATTCAATCATGCAGCATCCACAAACTTCTGGAAAAGACAATGCTAAAGATTTAGAACTGGAGTGAAGAAACAACCCCTTATCTCAGTCCTAAACGATCAACCTCTTATCTTGAAATTATGTCCAAATTCTAGATTTCCTAGCCATAAAACCTTTCAGTATCTACCTGTCAAGTTCTTTCAGTATCTGTTGTGCTTTAATGAGATCACCTCTTATTCTTCTAACCTCCAGAGAATGAAGACCCAATTTACTCAGCCTCTCAACATTGGAGAATATTCTCATCCTCGGCATCAATTTGTGAATCTTTGTTGCGCTACCTCCAATACAAATGCTTCTTCCCTTAAATATGGGGACCAAAACTGTACAGTATGCCAACTGTAGTCTCACCAAAGCCCTTTACAACTGGAGCAAACTTCCTTTATTCATGTACTCCAATCTCCTTGCAATAAAGATCAACTATAACCTGCTTGCCTAATTGCTTGCTTTATTGCATGTTAATATCGTGCTCCTTATATAAGTGCACCCATGGTCCCTCTGAAATTAACATTTGCAAATTTCGCACCTATATTCTGCTTTTCTATCATATGTGTAAAGTAAATAACCCACATTGTGTTCCATCTGCCATCCTGTTGCATAGTCACAACTTCTCTGTTTTGCTTGAAGCTAGCATTCCCAGCTAGCTCTATCATCAGCAAACTTAGATATGTTACTGTTTCTCTGGCTGAGTCAATACTACAGTATGCAAATAGCCACACCCAGCACTCACCATTGCTGTATTCTACTGGTAAAAGCCTGCTAACTTGAAAGTTTCCAATTTATCCCAGTTCTCTGCTTCTTGTCAGTTAACCAACTTTCCGTCCATGCTAATATATGAGCCTTTAACTCTATCAACCCATATGAAATGCCTTTTGGAAATGCAAGTATATTGTATTTAAGGATTCCTCTTTATCAGTCTCATCAGTTACATCCTCAAAATTTGTCAAATACAATTCCCCTTTCATAAAGCTATGTTGATTGATCTGAGCATACAATGCTTTTGTAAGCACATTGCTAAGACTTCCTTAGTAGATTCCAGTGTTTTGACAACAGATGTAGGGCTAATGAACCCATACCTCCCCATTTCTTTTTTTTGTGTAGATGTCACATTTAACTTCCAATCAACTGGGACCATTCTGTAATCCAAGAAATTTTGGAAAGTCACAACCAGCCCATCCTCTATCTCTATAGTTTTCTTGTAGGACCCTACAATACAGAGGAACAGGTCTTAGGGATTTGTTAGATTACAATACCAAGTTTCTCCAGTAGTTTTTCCATATTCTTATTAACTGTTAGATCACCTTCTATTTCTGTTTTTTAAACTTGGTTTCCGCCTCGAAGACAGAAAACATTTGTTCATTGTCTCACATTTATTTCCTTATTCCACATGATAATCTCTCCTGTTTCTGCCTCCAAGTGACTTAATGTCCTCATGTATATATGCTTACAAGAGCTATTATATTTTAATATTGCTGGCCAATGGAGAATTCAAAAGGAGACGAAATACTCGGAAGGCGTGAAGCTATGAATTTTGGGGAGTGTGGTCCAGACAAGAGAGGCATGTTTCTCACAAGTCGCTCCACTCATCCTGGAGCAGAGGATTGAGTAGGTCAGTATTCTAAAAAGCATACACTTGGACTCAAACCTGCAGAGGGTTGTACAGGTATAATGGACCAGACTCACATCAACATAGTTGATACTTAATTGCCTTGTGAAATGGTTTGCTAATCTACTCAGTTGTATCAAATCATTGCAGCAGCTGAAGGCAGCAGCTCAGCATCACCTCACCTAGGCAATTAGAATCCACAAAAATGAAGTCTGCGTTCAGTAACACCTACATACAGAGAACAAATTTTTAAAAGATCACTGAAGCAAGTTACAGCAAAGCACAAAGCTGGGGGGTAACAAAGGTGTGCATAAAGGATGCAATGGTACCAGAATTAGTATTAGTACCAGGGTAGTATAAAGCGTAAATCTCAGGTATGGGCTGAATAGGATGCAAAGAATGTGCATGTTCTGTTTTAGTTGAAGGAATGTCTGGTGAAGGGGTTTCAACAGCAAGCATGAAATGTTTTGGCAACAGCCAGAACATGAGTCTTGTCAATTTTCTCAATCATCCACATCAAGCATCCCTTCTGCACAGCTCTTCAACTGCACTCCTGAATGTCACTTTTCAATTATTTCAGAGTCTATTTACCATCAAGACTCCTGATTTTTCTTTGATCAGACTCGGGTGGCTCAGCATTCGTTCCTTTACTAACATTCGAGGGAAGGACGCCATAATCAGTAAAGCTATGACCACTCGGTTGGAGGATAACTCATGGCTGGTGGCAATCCTGTTTTACTGGGACAAGTGAGAATGCAACCACAAAGACAGTCCAATGAAAAGGCTGCATAAGAGGTTGCTGAGGTTACCATGTTGTGTTATGATGGAAAGTGTGTTACCAGAGCCATAATTTAAAATTAAGTTTAATAAATTAACTAGAATGCCTTTAATTTTTAAAAAAAAGTTAAAAAGAATCTTGTTATAGCTCCACATATGATCAATGATGACATATTTGATATACAGAAATGTCACAAGAAATAGAAAGCTGGCTGTAATGGAATGAAAAAGGAAAAACACTTCTGCTGAGCGCAGACAGATATACAGTGATCCTTGGGGAATTATGTCATTTTTTTAATGGCCCAAAGAATCAGAGGCGACGTGACAAGTGGTCACAACTAGAAATGGTGAGGGAGGCTGACTCAACTGTGACTTTCAAATGAGAACGCTTGTAGTGGTCTGGGACGGATGTGACTGATCAAATGGCTTCCTTTTATGCTGTAACCATGCTACGATTTTGGAAGGTAGTGCAGTTCCTAGAGATTCCTTTATACAAAGAAAAGATGCACCTGAAAAGGAGATAGGTGTGACCAGAATGAAAACTACTTTTAACAATATAATTGAAGTTTATATCATCTTTCAATTAATGCAATGGAGAAATAATGTTTTTACCTTTTCACTTTATCTCTCTGGAGTTCTATAAAATCACAATCGAACTGTGAAATTATTTTATCCACAACATTAAATTCTGTGCTCTCTGAAAATTTCTTATGACGTTCACTTTTCAGATGCTGTAAAGAAATACAGAAGAATTAAGCTGAAAGCAAGCTGACGCAGACTCTGGAAATATGAAATAAAAACACTAGGAAGTTAGAAATACTCAGCAACTCTCATCTGTGGAGAGAGTAAGAGTTGGAAAGAAAATGTGAAGTGCTGTATGCACAAGGAGAAAGGGGGAGAAAGAAAAAAATGTAAACATCTAGCCAAGGGCAGGAGAAATTAAGTGATAAAATGTGTTCTTTACCTGCTGCAGTGTTCGATTGAACCTCACCACAAGCTCAAGGAACAGTTTGTTGTCTTATTAACACTTATTCATGAATTTAACAATTCCAGACCAGAAACTCTGTCCCCTAGTTTTTTTTTCCCATGAATTGGATTGATTTTTTATGATTTTGCTTTCAGACAGTGCTGTTCATTATTCTGCCACTCACATTCACTCTAGACAAATGTTTTATTTCTTTGCTACAACAATTATGGCTCCCTGCCTTTTGCTCCATGACATCTTAACATTATAACTTTAACACAATGTATATTCAAAGATTAAATTTGAGCTACTTTAGGTTTTCTGGTTCCCTCCAGTGGTCATATTTCATATAAACAGATGACTGGTTTTAAGCAGGTGCTTGGTGATTTTATGTATCAAATTACACAAAAAGTCATGAGGGATTTTGCCAATATGGTATCTGTAACCATTGCAGCAGTTCTGCCTTTTACAACACTACTTTTGACACTTCTAAAGACGATGGCTGGAGCAGTTCTCTTTCAGTTTCTATCCACATTCATTTGACTTTTTAAGTGCTCACTTTCCTTTTTCAGAAGGAGTTAACCAGAATTATTTAATCTGTTGATCCTAAGCTATTATAACACTTCTACATAGCGCAATGTATGCAAAAATAATGAAAATAGTTTGAAGTTAAAACTTACAATTTTTAAATCTTCATACTTCATCATGCAGCATTCACAGTAACCCTTCTTCTTCTTCTCTTTCAAAGTTTCTGTGATTTTTGTGTCCATTTTGCAGTTCTTTTCACTGCATGCTATTTTGTGACATTTACTTCTGCTTCCAAGAGATAAATAGAAAAGCAAATATATGACAGTTTGTGTTTATTTTCAAATAACAATTTTTTTTTAAAAACTGTATTTTTATATACTTTTGATATCCTCTGGCAGTTAGTTAAATAATGGATATTTCCAAACATTTCAAGTTACAGAAATCATACAAAGTTGTCTGGTTAAGTCACTTCAAAAGATTAGCCCCAAAAACACTTCCTGACATCTATCTAATTGAGCACTGTTTTCTTAAATTTGGTTAGTTACATACTGTTAGGTGTCACATCTTGTGGTGTTTGCAAGCAAAATGTTTTCTTAGGTTCTATTTCATCTCCTACAAGCAGATCTTATGTCCTTCTGTGACAACATCTCGTCACCAGCGAATGTCAGAATCATAGCATCATACAGTAGTGAAGAGGCCCTTCTGCCTATAGAGTCTGAACTGCCAAAATATACTGCTGCTTATACTAGTCCAGCTTTACTGCACATGGCCCATAGCCTTGAATATTATGACAGAGACTCCAAGATCTCAAAAGAATCCTGTGTGATAATAACACTCATAACTGGCCAGTTTACTGCATGAAGTATTTCACTAATCACTTGGCATACAAAATAGCAATGATTTCTATAAATGCAGGAGTCTGACTCTTAAGCTGTTATTGTTAATGACAGCTATAATTTGTAAGGCAAAATTTGCTTTGACTTTAGAAGCAAATGAAAAGTTAGTCACAGCCGAGATGGTACAGTCCTATTCACAGTAGTCTATGTAACATTCGGATCTAACCAAAAGTGTTTACTTATTGTTAAATGTCTCATACCCACCCCATGAAACAACACAATAGCTCTCAACTGTACAACTTCCTGCCAGTGTCAAAAAGATGCCTCTTTGTACTCCTTTGAGATCGAATGGAGTGTCACTTTGTACTCTTTTGAGCAAGGCCAAATAAACCAATTAACAAATGAACTAATCCTTAAAGGGACACTGTATCAATAAAACATTTTGAAAGAAACAAATTAAAATGAAATATAATTTTGGATGGATATGATACACTACAGCACCTATACAGCCAACAGGCTGATTTTGGAAGGGCTCATGTGTACAACGGGACATCTCTGCTCCCTCTCCAAGAATACCCAATTACAGAGATATCTAAGAACTGGAGGTGGCTGGGTCAAACTATCTCAACAACCCACTATCTGGACCTGTTAATGGCCCCCTAAGCCAGGCCCAGGTGTGGACAAACAAAAAGATCCTCTACCCTGCCCACTCCTGTCGCATCATGCGGTCAAAAATCAGGACAGTGGAGCTGAAGGTGAAGCAGCTGCTCCTTGAGAATGGGATTACTCTACTGCATGGCCTAAATAAACACGGGAAAAAGATGGCAGTGGCAATGTCACTGAAGTAATCTGGAAGCCCACGTTAGTGCTCTGGGAATATGGGCTCAAATGGTACAATTTAAATGTAATTTATAAATCTCACATTGAAAACTAGTTTCAATAATGGTGATCATGAAACAATCATGGATTGTTACGAAAAGCAATTCCCATCTGGTTCACTAACATATCTTGGAGAAGGAAATATGATGGCCTGTAAGTTACCCTCAATCCACAGCAATGTGGTCAACTCTAAACTATCTTCTGAAGCCACTCAATTCAACAGTGCTTGGGATGGGCCACAAATGCTAGCCTGGGCCTCGCCAGTGATGTCCACATCCTAAATCAAAAATATATCTCCTCATTGCCACTAAAATTACAAGTGACTGGGAGTCCATGACCCAACTTAATATTTGATTACACAGTGCCTGATGAACAAAACACTCAACGGCAAATCCCCAGCGAGAAATGGGAGGGCTCCCGCACTGACAGCTTTACCTCCACACAGTGGGATGGAACTTGACAGCATGTCCAGACAGCTGATGAGGGCAAGGAAGTGAAAGGTATGCAGTTGCAGCCCATGTAGGAAAACAAAGCCATCTATGTAGTGGATTGGCACACAAGGAATTTCTGCAAGCTATTTCAGACCGTGGGTCCAAGACTCCTGTACATGTTTTTGGAGACCCAGGTCAATAAGAATCTCTGTCTGAGGAGGAATCAGTTCAGTTGGGTGTGCTCTCCATGCTCAAGTTGTTGCAACACCATGACTGCACTGCATTTTTAAGATTCTTCAAAGTCGTTACCATGACCTGAACATAAGCCAACACCAGAACAACCTCTTATTGTACCCTTTGTGCATTAAAAACAAAGGGATAGCAGCAGAGAAAATAAGAGCAGGAGTAGGCCATTCAGCCCTTCAAGCCTGCTCTGCCATTCAATATGATAATGGCTAATCATCCAACTCAGTACCCTGTCCCTTCTTTGATAGAAACATAAAATCCCCAGTGTAGATAAAGGCTATTCAGACCATCAAGTATGCATAGATCCTTCAAACAGCAGACCCACCCCATCCCTGTAACCCAACATTTGCCATGGCTAATCTACATAGCCTGCACATCCCTGGACACCACAGGGCAATTGAGCACAGCTAATTCACCTAACCTGTACAAGTTTGGACAGTGGGTAGAAATCAGAGCATCCGGTGGAAATACAGACAGACACAGGGAAAAAGTGCAAACTCCAGAGGCAGTAGCCCAAGGTCAGAATTGAACCTGGGTCTCTGGCACTATGAGGCAGTAGGGCCAACCATTGTGCCACCATGCCACTCATACCCTTTGATCGCTTTAGCACTAAGAACTATATATTTCCTTCTTGAAAACAAGCTTCAACTGCTTTCTCTGGTGGAGAATTCCAACAGTTTACCATTCTCTGGGTAAAGAAATTTATCACCTCAGTTCTAAATGGGGTGGCACGGTGGCTCAGTGGTTAGCACTGCTGCCTCACAGCGCCAGGGGCCTGTATTCGATTTCACCCTCGGGCGACTGTCTGTGTGGAGTTGCACATTCTTCCCATGTCTGCATGGGTTTCTCCAGGTGCTCCGGTTTCCTCCCACATTCCAAAGATGTGCAGGTTGGGTGGATTAGCAAGGCTAAATTGCCCATAGTATTCAGGGATGTGTGGATTAGGTGGGCAATAAGGGGATGGGTCTGGGTGAGATGCTCTGAGGGTCGGTGTGGACTTGTTGGGCCAAAGAGCCTGTTTCCACACTGCAGGTATTCTATGCTATTCTAAATAGCCTACCTTGTATCCTTAGAAATCAGGAACATCCTGTGTTCACCCTGTCTATACAGTTAGAATTTTATAGGGTTCTATGAGAAACCACCATCACCACCCCTCTCCCAACTTCATTCTTCTAAACTCCAGTCTCTCTTCATATGTCAGCTGTGTCATCCCATGAGTTAGACTGGTAAATCTTTGTCGCACTCTGTCCAGAGCCAGAACATCCATCCTCAGATAAGCAGACTAAAACCGTATGCAGTATTCCAAGTGTGGTCTCACCAATGCCCTTATACAGTTGCAGCAAGCCATCCCTGTTCCTGTACTTGAACCCTTTCACTCTGAATGCCTACACACCATTTGCCTTCTTTACTGCCTGCTACATCTGCACACTTACTTTCAGCAACTGCTGAACATGCACCTCCCCCAGAACACCAGCAAGGAATAGCAGACCAGCCATAACCTCACTGAACTATACAGCTAGTCTGAAAAGCTGAATTACCTATTCCTGCTCCTATTTCATACATTCTCATGCACCTATTGATAAGTGTTTCCTACCTCATCTTTGGTTTATATAGTAAATACTTTTTTCATAACTTTTTTTAAACGGAACATGGGTATCAGCAAATGGACGGCACTGCGGCCTCACAGCACCAGGGACCCGGGTTCGATTCCACCCTCAGGCAACTGTCTATGTGGAGTTTGCACATTCTCCCCACGTCTGCACGAGTTTCCTCTGGGTGCTCCGGCTTCCTCCGACAGTGCAAAGGATGTGCAGGCTAGGTGGATTGGCCATGCTAAATTGTCCATAGTGTTCAGGGATGTGTAGCTTAGGTGGGTTATGTGGGATGGGTCTGGGTGGGATGCTCTAAGGTTCGGTATGGACTTGTTGGGCTGAAGGGCCTTTTTCCACATTGCAGGGATTCTATGATTCTATGAAAACCTGCAAACTGGCAAAGTCAGCTTTTGTTGTACATCCCTGACTGCTCTTAAATTGAGTGGCTAGCTAGGCTATTCCTAGGCTAATAGTCAACTACATTGCTGTGAAACAAAGTCACATTTAGGCCAATGACAATATTGCTATGCAACCATCGCACTACTTTGCCACACTTCATTCAGCTCACCAATCATTCAAACACCAACAAGGGAGGTCAGAAACTGACAAATCACCAGAGTCAGAGCAATGGAATCATTTTTGTTTTCCAAATTTCAGTTCAGTTAAATTGGCAATAATGATAAACCAACTACTGGGGTTCCATAAATGTTTACTTATTTATTCAACATTCAGTAAAAGCTATGCTGTAGTTTACAGCTTAAGCAACAGAGGGAATATTTTTATTCATCTTTCCAATTTGTGACAGGTAATATATCATTAAGCTGAAATATATGGGTTCTCTTACTTCTGGGCTCACTATTAACCAGAGTCTCCTAATTCAAGCACGCATAAGTGGCAAATTACTGATGCACAGGCAGAAAACAAACAAAATCATAATAACCAACAGACATTCTTGATTATATGTTAATAAGCAAGCTGAAACGTTATTGTTACTGTGTTTTTGCGTTTTTGCATTCAATTAATTGAAAACAAGAAGTTGAATTACCTAGCCTTTCCTTTATTTTGCTTATCATTGGTCTTGCTTTTCTTGTCCATATCAAAAGGACTCCAGGGATTTGGACCAAGGTAGTTGATCTCTGGGTAGCAATCTAACTGTATATACAATGGTCTGTAATGGCTGAATAAAACAATTTTCAATATTTAAGAAAAAAGTACGTTTATAATCTTAACAATTAGCAGCTGATCGTAGTTCAAGGAGCTTTAAAATCCCTTTTAACACAAACAGCAAGTAGACAGAGCGCAGACTGTCCAAAGACTAATGGTCAGACTCAACCTACTTGCCACTAATCGGACCTCCACAGTACAGGGAAAGTGGAGGGGAAAATAATGTGCTGAAACTTATAATTTAGGGCTATAGTTAGATTCACTTTTGTTGGAGATGGTCATTGCTTGACACTTTGTGGCATGAATAATACTTGCCACTTGTCAACCCAAACCTGAATATTGTCCAGCTCTTGCTGCATTTGGACATGGACTTCTTCAAAATCAGAGGTGTTGTGACTCTGTTCAACATTGAGCAGTCATCAGCAAACATCCCCACTTCTGACTGTACGATGAAGAGAAGGCCACTGATGAAGCAGTTGAACATAGTTGAGTCCAAAACATCAGCCTGGGAACTCCTGCAGTGACATCCTGGAGTTGAAGTGCCTGACGTCAAAATACCACAGCCATACATTTTTGAGTTAGGTATGACTGGACCAGCAGTTTTCCCGGATTCCGTTGACTCTAGTTTTGGTAAGGGTCCTTTGATACCACACTCTGGTCAAATGCAGCCTTGATGTCACTCTTAACTCCCCTCAAGAATTCAGCTTCTTTGTCCATGTTTGAACAAAGGCTGTAATGAGGTCAGGAGTTGAGTGACCCTGGCAGATTCTAAACTAAGTATCAGCAGGTTGTTGCTAAGGAAGTGCTTTTTGCTAGCATCATGATGATACCTTCCATCACTTTACTAATGATCGATCGTAGAGTGGTGGACCAGTAATTGGCCGGGTTGGATTTATCCTGCTTTTTTGCATACAGGACATACCTGGGCAACTTTCCACATTATCAGGTTGATGCTAGTATTGTGGTTGTACTACAACAGCTCAACTAGGGGCACTGCAAGGTCTGGAACACAAGTCTTCATTATTATTATCAGAATAATGTTAAATCTCCAACCCATCACATTCTCTGCCACCAGAATACTGTCAATGGCAACTCAAGCCTTGCACTAGGGGTCTGCAAAAAAAATTGCACTTGACAAAGTTCGACACAGGTGCTCAACACTGCTCAGCAGAGGAGCTGACCAGAAATAAGAGTGCAAACAGTGTTTTAAAGCTTAATGTTTCAAAAATGAAGTGGCTCAATGGGTAGCACTCCTGTTTCCGAGTCAGAAAGTTACTGACTCGGAGACTATCCCAAAGACAAAATCTAGGTGACACTAGGGAGCACTTCACTGTCATAACTTAATGCCTTATCAGAAGGGTGATACTCATCTGTCCCCTCAGTTGGGCAAGATCCTGTGACAATATTTCAAAGAGCGGGGGAATGATTCTTGGTGCCCTGGACAATATTTATCCTTCAAAGTCGCAAAAACAGATTATTTGGTCATTTTCACATTGTTGTTTCTGGGAGTTTGCTGTGCACAAGTTTGCTGCCAGAACTTTCAAATTACAACAGCATCTATACTTCATTGTCTCTCCAATAACACTATAATATCTACCTAGATCAAAAATCAGTAACATTTTTTAAAGTCAAAATTTGTGTTTTCTGGCATCCACTCCGAATGGGTGGTAAATCAAAAATGTGGTTATCTAGGTGTTAATGCTGCAACAACAAAATTGGAGAGGTGAAAGATATGTGCAGAACTATTTACAAACCGAAATTCTCTTAAGGTTTCAATTCACTCAGTAAATTTTTTCACTAAATTGAAACACGTTTCAAACTATTAATGCAATGTCAATCAGCTGTTGAGAAGAGCATTTGAATTAGGAACATATTTTAATTTAGATACAAAACGAAAGAATTGTGGATGCTGTAAATCAGGAACAAAAACAAAGTTGCTGGAAAAGCTCAGCAGGTCTGACAGCATCTGTGAAGGGAAAAACAGAGTTAATGCTTCGGTTCTGGTGACCCTTCGTCGGGGTCACTGGACCCGAAACGTTAACTCGGTCTTTTCCTTCACAGATGCTGTCAGACCTGCTGAGCTTTTCCAGCAACTTTGTTTTTGTTCCTTAATTTAGATACGATTAGCTTACCGGCTCATTGCTTCAACTTTGATAAAAGGTTTCCTCAGTTTTCCTGCTTTTTAAATCAAAAAATGTTTTAGATGAGCAATACAAACCCACAAACATTATATTCAAAGTATTCAAAATTTGAATATTGGTAAGCAAAATGAATGATTTCTATTCACTTCGATATCATGTTTTTCTACGTTGTCTCTGCACAACATCCTTATAAAACAAATAATTGCTTCTGACACCACAAATTATTTTCTTTCCCCTGAACATGTTAACAATTGTCTCAAACATCAATTTAAATTGATAATTTCCACAAGTTAAAAAATCTATATACAATGAAATTCAATTTGCAAAGGAATTAACATATTAAAATCCATATGAAATGGGATACTTAATCACCAGGGTATCAAACTACCTAAAAATACTAGTAGACACTCTAATGTGCTGCTCCTGATAAATCAGATAAGAAACTGCTTTAAGAAAAATGGCATACCATCTAATCATGGATAACTTTATTCATACCAAAGTAGTGTGTGACAAAGATGATAACTGCGGTGAAATGCCCTTCAGATCATATACTGGTCAGATTCCCAAATTAGTATGTTTCTATTACAGGGATTACATTGATTAGCAGTTAGCATTAGGAAATTAAAATTGTATAATTAACTGACAGGAACGATTGACTATAATGGACAATGTCATGGTCGGATTCAATGCAAAAGAAGCACAAGGCTAAGTCAGTGCACCATCTGGTAACAAACAGTTCAACAAAATTAAAGAGGAACAATCTAAATTAATTGAGCGGAATACATAACAGAGAGATCAATAGTAGCATAGTAAAGTTTATTCACAATCACAGTCACTGAACTGGTGACAGATATGTGTGTTGTACAGGTGTGGTGTCAATATAACAAAGGGTAGGTAGTCAATGTCAGCTTTTAATTTTTGACTAGTTCTCCCAAAGCACTTCTTAGAGTTGACGGGCGTAATATATTATACAAAGGAGTGGTACGCAATGGAAAGTCATTGACTAACAGAGACTGCAAATAACAGAAACAAGTCTCATTACGAGGCCTTTTTGGGATTGCATTTCATAACTTATCCATTATTCTGTGAAAACTATGAATGAATGGAATTCATTTTAAACTTTTCTTAAAATATAATATTAATGTCAAGGTTATCAAGCAAGATCATTCACAACATGCACTAAATGGAGATAGATGCCTGCTATTATGGGAAAGGGAGGTGTAGGTGGCAAGTGGGATTTTTCATAACTTTTTTTTACATTCCGTAAGTCCTTGGCTGGAGGTTTTTCCATACATTTTCTCAGGAAAATTTTACTCGTATCCTGATGTCTTCAAGTCTCTTATCCATTTTCAAATGCTTCCACAACATTGGCTTGAGCACTCTTTTCTAGCTGAATATCCCAACGTTTCCCTCCTGCTTTTTAAAAACAATTTATTCTTTTCACAGGATGTGGATGTCACTAACTAGGGCAGCATTTTCTGTCCATTTCTAACTGCTTTGAGGTGGTGATGAGCCACCTTCTTGAACTGCTTTATATCCACAATACTATTTGGAACAGTCACAGTGAAGGAAAAGTAATATAGTTCCAAGTCAGGATGGCGTGTGGCTTGAAGGGAAACATGAAGGTGGTAGCACTCCCTTGTATCTGTTGCCCTCATCCTTCCGGGTGGTAGAGTCACAGGTTTGGAAGATGCTGTCAAAAGAGCCTTAGTGAGCTATATACAACTTTTTCAGTCCTCACAATTTTGAACTAAACTGCTTTTTCAACAATGCCCATTGCCCCTTTCTCCTATCCTGATAAAGGATTCTGTATCTAGCCTATGCAAGACATATTTGGAGTAAAATACATACCTTTTGTTCTATGACTATTAGATTGGGCAGTTCGATTGGACTTCTCCTGAACAAAAACAAAACATTTGATAAATTTTGCTCTTCAACACAAAACAAAGGAGCAGTTCATTTATTGTCCAAATCCAACATGTTGTACATTGTTGTATCAACATGGCTTGCCTGTTAAACTGGTTGCAAAACTAAAAGAAAACATGCAGTTCAAACTATTTCAAACTTCTAATACTAAACCTTGGCAATTGAAAAAAAAAGTTGGAAACAGTCCTTCCAAACTCTAAGTTCACTAGTAAATATATCCATGTGTAAATAAGGTGGAAATGCCTGTACTTGCAGCTTCAGTTTGACAGTGCAATTTTAGCATTACTTTGTCATAATCTTCTCATGTCTTTCACTCTATTATCAACTGAGAAAACAAAACAGAATTTTTTCTAATAAAAGCAAAATACTGTAGACACTAGAAATCTGAAAATTTTCACAAAATGTGGTTTAACCAAGGTTAACCAACTACAGGTGCAAAGTATTGTTGCTTTCTTACCCCATTGATTGTGGCAATAGAGTTTGTCGTTACAAATGACTCCTTCTTTCTTGAAATATAAGTTTTCACATCTAATGTAATGTTAAGGTCATATAAAATCGAAAATAAACTCAAACAACAAAACTGGCATGTGATTATGGAAAAATTAAAGATTTAGGTCTCACTGTATAACATCAGGTTTCATCAAATGCATTTTTTAAATTTCATGAACTCAGAAAATTTCAGAAAACTGACATGATGCAACAGACTTACTGTATGTTCCTATGTGTAGCACACTCCATGTACTAGGTTTTATAGTGAATAACAGAAGTCTAATTTGTATGACTGTCAGAAAGACCCAACCTGATGGTGCAAACTATATAGTCTCAGTAAAATCATTTGCTAATTTTTTTTGGCAAGAGTTAAAGGAGGATAGGCATTCAGAAACACAATTATGCCAAGAATTGGTCTGGAAATGCAACTATTATAACATTTCATTCAAACCTTTAGCATTCATAAATGACACCAGTAAAAAAAAAAAAGTTGCTGTTAGAATTTTAAATTCTTAATGAATAACTGAATTGAACATTTAAAAATCTTGCTGGTGGGGATAAAGTCACCAGTAAAAAATGTTTTATCCAGGCAGTTCTCATTTTTATAACAATAATTTCACATTGAATTTACATTTTAACTCTTATCAACTATCACTGCAAAAAATGTAATGAAAGGATACCATCTATATAAAGTATTCGCACTCCCCATGCCAGGGCATTCAAAAGGATGTTGTTTCCAGGAACAAAATCCTGTGTTGAGGGGCAGGAGAAAGGAAAAGGTATGGATTTGGAAGAAACAGAAAGTGTAAAACTTTATCACAAATACTCCATAAAACAGTACAATAAAAATGAATACTGTGAACATTTATTTTTCAATATTTATTAAATAAGACTCCATATATTGTTGAAACAATGTCTCAAAATTGACGAGATATGTCCAACAATAATACCATTCAGTATAAATTAGAATCACTTGACAAAGACAAAAAGTACCTCTAAAAAACATTAGGATTCATTTCAAATACAAACAATGAAAATGACCAGAACTATTTAAAATACAAATATTTAAATTATCTATAAGCAATTTTTGTTTTGATCTTAATTATTTGTTGTACAGTTCTCCCACATGTCACACTGGTAGCTGCATTGATACTATGGATTTAAGAGGTGTATTTTGTCCTTTGTTTAAATGAAGAAAGGTTGTGACAGAGGCGCTGGGCAGTCTGCTCCAAAGCCAATAAAGTAAGTAGGGTGTTCCTGTTTAAAAGTTGGAACAATAAAAGCAGTCTGAACAAGTGGGGTCAACTCCCACAGAATCAGGATTTTTAGCTTTAGCTTTCAGTAGAGGTTGCTAGGGTCTTGAAGCTGGGTTTGGAAGCTGCAGTACATTTCTCCCTGCTATATCTATCAGAGGAAGTGGTGGAGGTTGGTATAATTACAAAATTTAAAAGGCAATTGGATGGGTACACGAATAGGAGGAGTTTAGGTGGATACGGGCCAAATGCTGGCAAATGGGCCTGGATTAATTTAGGATATCTGGTCGGCATGGAGGAGGTGGACCAAAAGGGTCTGCTTCCATACTGTACAACTCTATGATTCTCTATCAGTTTTCTCTTGATGTTCTTTCCTCTTGGACTATAGAATTGCATGTGAGACAATCTGTTTTACTGAATTTTCCATTGCCAAAGGTGTGTTTATGGAATGTTACTATATTGGAACAGTTATTGCTTATTAGTTAAATAATCTAGTATTGTTAAGTTTTCCAACAAAATTAAGTTATTCAAATTTCTTATTTTATTGTATTTTAGCTATAGGTGTATGAATAAAATGTATTAGAACATAGAACATAGAACATTACAGCGCAGTACAGGCCCTTCGGCCCTCGATGTTGCGCCGACCTGTGAAACCAATCTGAAGTCCATCTAACCTAAACTATTCCATTATCATCCATATGTTTATCCAATGACCATTTAAATGCCCTTAAAGTGGGCGAGTCTACTATTTTTGCAGGCAGGGCATTCCACGCCCTTATTACTCTCTGAGTAAAGAACCTACACCTCTGACATCTGTCCTATATCTATCACCCCTCAATTTAAAGCTATATCCCCTCGTGCTAGCCATCACCATCCGAGGAAAAAGGCTCCCACTGTCCACCCTATCTAATCCTCTGATCATCTTGTATTTTACTTCAAGACTGGTAGTTTGACTAATCAAATTGCATCCGGAACGCACGCCTAGTACTTGCCTTTAAAATAAGAAAATGTTAGGGTTTATGCTATCTTAATATATTTTGAGGAGGTTTGGTCTGGTCCATAACACAGCAAAGAAGAAAGCAGTATGTGGGCAGTGAGTGGAAAGTAGGGAGAAAGTAGAAAAGGAGGGGGAAGAAAAATAGTTGGAGTAATGATTTAATATGGATAGGAATGAGAATAGCCAAAGACAAATGGGTCTGAACATGTATCAAGGAATCACGTAATTATAGCATCTTGTATGATATGCGTGAAATACGAATACAAATCAATGGAAATTCAAATCGATTGAACTGTTAGACAAGTGAAGGGAAACATTTGCCTTTGTTACACCTTCTTTTGCCATTAAGACTGTGGTCTAATCCATTCGTATCAAATCCCCAGTGACCTTAGTATTTGCAGTATTCAATTAAAAATTAGTACATGCAATACCAAGATGAAGTCCATGCTAACAACAGAACAGAATACATTTTCATGGGAAATTGCAGATGGGGAACAATTGCTACTTTGCCAGTAAAACCCACATCTCATGAATAAGTATATATCTTAAAAAAATTGTTGAAAATTAATTAAGATAGTAACATTCAGACTCAATGAAATGAAGTCTCTCACCCTATCACCCCTAACATATATATTATAATTATTGCTTCTCATCCCACCCATATACACAACCCGTAATTCCTTGTCCCACAGACATACACAGAAACCTCTCTTTCTTGTACCTGTTAGATCTGGTTCTCACTGTACAGGGGAAGCAATCACTTGTTTTGAATAAATATTTATCTCTAAAACTATGCAAAAACCCTTCTTTTAAAACGTTTTAATTAATTCAACATTTCCTTTTTCTCTCCTTCATGTGTTACTGACTTCAATCCATCAATGTCACAGAGCATCACATCTTCACTAGCTTACAGCAGGTTTGTATAGTGTGTTAATTAAGTTCCATATATGAAAAATTCATACAGCAATATTCAAACTTGATGGTATGCCCAACCAGACCCTCCCTAGCTGGCACTCTCATAACTTTTCATTAGCTGATTCTAGCACATGTCTGTCTGGAAGCTTGCTTAAAGTGAACATAGGTGGTGCCAGATAATGCATGATGTTCAAGTGATGCGCAAATACAAATACTCAGTGGCAGAAAAGAAGAAATCAGAGCTCAGTACTTGTTTTACCACTTAGTTTCAAAATAGATCACTTCTAGCATTAAAACAGAATTAAGGAGGTTGTTGCTTTTCACTGTGTTTTCTTGATTAATAACTTACCTGTTCCTTGATAACCTTCTTGACAAAACTTTTTCCTCTGCTTATCTGTCAATTGAAAAAATTATTAAATCAACATTTTTGCAAGCAGAATTTGCATTTTTGATGATATTTCTCACTGAGTCATAAGTTTCAAATGGATTAAAAGTTAATTTAGTTTGCTGTTTGAACTTAGACATATTTGGTTTCAATACATTGACAAATTCAACAACACATCCGCATCAAAACAGAAACAGCTTGTGAATATGTAATTCCATTGATCCAGAAGATGTCCCAATGCAATTTACATTGGTTGGGGTAAAGAAAGATAAAACAGACAGGAGAAATAAAGGAGCAAACATCAAGTAATCATGATGTGATCAAAAGCAGTGAGATAAGCATTTTGAGGAGATCTACAAATATGAAGTAAGTTTCAAACATCATGTAAAGGCAACACAATTTGTATTCCTTGGGTGCAGCACATTCTTTCCTGCCACAGCAGTTGAGGCCAATAAAAATCACACACTATTTGTTTACAATGACATTGCCTGGAACAGGCATATATCCTCATAATTAGTGCTAATTAATTCAGACAGAAGATAAAACTACAGCGTTTACACATTGACTTTAGAATAAAGAACTTCAACTGAGACAGTCTCATCAATCATTTCCCCCTATAAAGGTGGCATTATTTTGAAAATATATTTGCCTGGATTCATCTCTAAAATTAGCGATCAATGTTACTTTAAAAAAAAATGAGACAACAACCACAGAGGACCACAAATGCACAATTAAGTGCAGCAATCACTACATTGTTATCCAGCTTTCCATGCTAGTCCAGAAGCTCTACTGTAATATTGCATTAGAGGACACAAGTAAAATACATGGGAGGGTATTAGGTTGCAGTTCTGATGTGATAGATACTCGAAGTTCCAAAAGAAATTCTCAAGTAGGTTGCTCTTGAAATGTTGTAATGTCCCAATTACTGCCAAAGAACGTCTCCAGCTTAAATTAACTTTTAGAAATGTAGTGCATCATTCCTTAAATTTGTCATTCAAGATTGTATAAATAATAAAATGTAATTAAAAAAATAAACATTTTCATCTCTTATTCCCTCTCTTAATTCCATGTTTCTCTCTCTTTTTATTTCACTTTGTGTACCATTCATTGCTGAATTAACTACTCTAAAATATACTCTCTATTTCAAATCCTGTGCCCTCATTAAGAAATTTTCAACACAGTTGGTTAAAGAAAGTGTTTGTAATACAAATTGAAATTAATTTCTAATTACTATATGTTCTAATACAAGAAGCCGCCTCTGAGCACTTAAAAATTAAACAAATGATGGCACCCTTCATTCACAGTCACTGTAAAATCAAGGCCATGGCTAAGTTTTGTTTTGTTCTCCCTTTTCATGAATTGGAACATTACATTCTAACTTCTCCAAGTTTTGATGTTTATGTTACTGTTCAAAGATGAGGACATTCATCAATTGATTAACCACAAATAAATTAAATTGCAACTACATTCTACATATTAGTGCTCTAAAATGTTCAAATTAATACATTATTGTCAGGAAACTTTTTCGAGTTTTCAGTATCAAGTTTAGCAAACTTTAGCAGAATTTGCTTGGGTACACACCCTGAAACATACCATCTCCAAAGTTCGATGTGGGCTTCCTTCATGGCTTTCTCTCCGACTGCTCAGATGGGGAGATGTGTTACCATGAACAGAATCTGGGCTTGGTATGGGAGAGTTTTTCCCAGCAGCCTGGACAAACTTAGCCTCATTTCTATTAGAAATTATGTAATTAATATCTTTGCTGAGAAATTTTTCAATTGTCTGTATTGAAATAAAACAGAAGAGAAAAACTGATTAGACAAGAGTTTTTAAACATGTGCAGATGACATTCCAATTCTCAGCTCACTATAAATTATTGTAGAATCAGCATTTGTTCCGAATTAATTTTTGACAACAGCAACTTACTAATAGGTACCTGTCTATAATAACAGTAAGGGATAGTTCATAACTTTCAAGGCACACTGGGAAATCAACTTCCTTAGTTTAAATAATAAAATTTATAGTCATTTTTGTAATTGTGAACATACCCCTCCTAGATCCTGTAGATCCTTCTCTAAGCTTTCAGTATTTTTATTTGAAGGCAGATCAAGGTAAAAAACTTTCCCTGTAAAAGGTTTTAATTTGATATCTGCTGCTTTATTAGCTCCTCGCGGTAACGTTCTCAGTGTTCCTTTACTTCTTCCAGATTTTCCATGTACTGTTAATCCTATAATAAAGATTCTACAATGAAACATTTTTAGAAGAAAATTCAGGGATTTAGAAACATAGCATGACTAAATTGAAATCGAAACGTAACACAATGCTGATTGATGCCAAAATTTCATTCATGGTGTCAATCGAAACAAGGCATCTAACACATGAACAAAGATTTAAATGGAAGACAACTGCTCCTTAGCATTCATAGCCCCTTGCTCCAAGTACAACTTATAAAGGTTCAGGAACTGTTCATTTGCCTGTTCTCTGACTAACTGTGTTGAAAATTATAACTTGAAAACAAGGTGGGAAGGAATAAAATTCTCTCACATGATAGCAAGATAGCAGACAGAAATAAACAGTAATCAAAAAAGACTACGGATTGTTCATGTTTACCTTAGGAGGGTTGGAATAAAACGGGGAAGTTCTGCTTCAGTCAACAAAACGTTACATCTATTTATCAGCTTTAACATAATGAAACATCTGAAAGCACTCATACGAGCAGTATAAAACAAAGTATAAACACTGAGCCACAAATGGAGATATTAGGTGAGATGACTAAAAGCATGGTCCAGGAGGTGGGTTTTAAGGGGTGTCTTGAAGAGGGAAAGCAAGGTAGACAGGCAGTGAGCTGTTGGGGGGAGTATTCTACAAAAACTGGAACAAGAACGAGAAATCTGACGGCTGTAGAGGTGGAAGACATAATAGAAAAGGGAGGACCAAGGTCAAGAAGGGATTTTAAAAAGGCTGAGCATTTTAAAATAAAAACTATTCTTGACCAGGATTCACTTCACATCAGCAAACACAGAGGTGATACAGAAATGTGACTTTTTTGAAGTTAAGATACAGGAAGCAAAGTTTTGGATAATGTCAAGTTTATGGAAGGTGGGATGTGGGAGACCAGCCAGAAGTGCATTGAGAAAGCGGAACTTAGAGGTAACAGAGGCATGGATGTGAGTTTTGAGCTGAGGCAGGGAGAAGTTACAAAAGTGGAAACAGACAGTCTTAGCAATGGCACAAATATAAGATCTGGGTCAAATCTCTAAACCAAATGCGAACGATCTGGCTTGATCTCAGACTGGTGTCAAAAGGAGTATGGGGTTCACTGTTGGGGAGTGGAGCGTGCAGCGGGGATCAAAAGCGATGGCTTCAGGCTTCCAAATATTTAATTAGAGAAAACTCCTGCTTATTTAGTGTTGGGTTTTCGATAAGCAAACAAATAATTTAGTGACAGTAGACAGATCAAGAGATATCATGGCGAAATAGAACTGGGTGTTGTCAGCATACATGTGAACAGTGTCTCTCAAATGGTACAACTGACAGCAGCATGCAAATGAGAAAGAAGAGGGTACCAATCGACCTTGGAGGAGTACTACAGGTAATGGTGCAGAACCTGGAAGGGAAGCCATTTCAAGTAATTCCCCGATTAGTAATTAGATAAATTAGAATGGATCCATATGACAACAGTCCACCCAACCAACAATAGTGGAGTGGTGTTTCAAAAACATAATCTGGTTAATCATATCAAACACTGTAGACACATAAAAAGAGGGAAAGAGGGAGCGAGAGGTGTACAAGGAGAGATGGCCTAATTCAAATGTTTTCACTACTGAAGTACTTAAAAGGGTAGAATCTCTTTCAATGGATCGGGTTCCAAAGAACAAAATTAGAGTTAAGCCAGCCAGGATGAAATTGGGAAGCTTATCTTCATACAAGATAATAGAAACTTGCAATTTTTGCAACATGATGTGACTGATATGACAGCTAGAGTATTCAGAACAGAGACAGGTGTTTTTTAAGTAAGCATATCAAGGGAAATGGAGAAACAATTTGAGGTGCATATCAACCATAGTCTAATTAAATAAAGCAGAATTGAAGGACTGAATAGTCTATTCTTATTCTTATTAAATATGAGTACTTAGAAAGATTATTAAGAAATATAGGTTAGTTTAGCATGTGCAAAAAGTTAAAAAGAACTAAGAGGGAAATGACACATTTACTGGGAATTCAGTAAAGCAAAATGAGGAATGCTTAATAATTTTTCCATGAGCATTTGTTGTGGTTCCAAAGCAACATACACTCACTCAAAAGTAAACATGTCAGAGATGAAAGACAGTTAAAATGCTGATCTGACAGGCATTGGAATAGATTCTCCCATGTCAGAATTTGTTACCTTGCCTCAACATTCATTAAATGCCTTATGCTCATTGTGAAGGATGTCATTATCTTGTGAACTTAGTCAGATTTGTTTTCATATAAAAAAATACTTTTCAACGTTAATCAGTTCTAATACATAAGAAACATGGGATGTTTATTAGAAATGAAGGCAGAGTTAGCTGGATTAGACTGGCAAAGGAGTTCAGCTGCAAAGATGGTTAAGGAAGACATAGTGACTCACAATGGAGATATATAATGACAAAAAAAAGGATTCCAGGAAGTGGGTAAGGATGGAAGTTAATGATAGCATCAATTGAAATCAAAAAATATGGCAAAGGTTAGTGGCAGGTCAAAGGATTAGGTAAGTTCTAAAAACTAACAAATGATAACCAATGAAGAGGGAGAAAATAATTATTGAAGTAAACCTGTAAGCAATATCAGGACAGATAGACGGAGCTTCCTTAAGTATTTAGAAATGAAAGAGAGGGCCCAAAGTGTACATAGACCCCTTAGAGAACAAGACTGGGGAATTAATAATGGGAATGAAGAAATGATTGACAAGTTAAATAATACTCTGAATCAATCTTCACAGTTAAAAGGCAATAACATTCGCTAGTACTTTCTCTCTAATGGGGTTAAAAGTCAATAAGTCCCCTGGACCTGATGCGTTACATCTTAAAATACAGGTATTTCTGCTATACAAGGTGTTTTGTTAACGTGAATTGGCCGTAACATGATTGATGGATAGTGGATGCTGTTTGGATAACGCAAACTTTCTACTGTAATGTGTCAGGATTTTCTATGGTGATTTTCTATAGCGCAAGGTCACACAAGAACGCAACTATCATGTTATAGAAAAACTACCTGTATTATAATTAGAACAGTACAGGACAGGAATAGGCCTTTTGACCATGTATGTGTCAACGATGATGCCATTCTTAACTAATCACACCTGCCCGTACAAAATCTGTATCCCATTATTCTTTGCCTAATATAATTAAATATTAGGATTTAAAAGAAATAGCTAGAGACAGGGGTTTAAGTGGCAGTAATCTTTTAAGAATTCTTAGATTCTGGAAAAGTGCTGGAGGATTGGAAACCTTTTAACGTAACATATTCCAAAAGGGAAGACGATGTTAGTACTATCTCTGTTTTTATTTATTTTTCTCATTCTCGGTTTGGATCTGTGAGCTGATGTTGATAGTTGAACTTTTGGAATTTGAGCTGCAGCTTGTATTAAATAAAAAAGGAGAGAACAACAAACTTATGTGTTTATAGGAACTGGGATGAAAAATTAATAGCATGCTGATTATTGATCTGAGAAAACTACAGACCTTTCAGCACCTGAATGTAGTATGCCCAAGAACTGGCAGCTGTTGAGCTGCTAAAAGGGGTAAGCAAAGGAAGGCTGGTGCCAGGCCAGCAAACAAAGACAATGCTAAAACAAAGAGAAAGTGAAGATTTATTTGGTTTTGACTGTTTTTAGGCAGAAGGCAGTGAAAGCTGCAGTTGTCAAATTGTTAAAAGTTTTAAGGAAAGAACCCCAGTCTGTAAGACATAAAAGATGTAGGACCAAAAGGTGTAATGTCAGAGTAAGAGGTTGGCCACTTTGGACATAGATGAGGATGAATTTCTTTTCTCAAAAGGTAGTGAACACATGCAATTCTTTACCACAGATGCCACGTTGCTATATATATTGTATATTCAAGGTTGAGGTACATAAATTTCTAATTGTTTAGCGACTCAAGTTGTAGGGAATAGGTAGGAAAGTGGAGGCAAGTATCATCGCATCAGCCATGATCTCATTGAATGGAGCAATAAACTCAATGAGTTAAAACAGTCCAGCTCTGCTCCTAGATCTTTTGGTTTATGGAATGATAGATGGCACTAGATGGACATGTTAAACTTTCATGTTATGTCTTTTTGCCCTGTACATAATGATGTAAAACCACCCGCCAAATTGCAGTCTTCAAAAAAAAAAAAAGAAAAAAAAAAAAAAAAGAATTGCAGCTGCTGAAAGCATTGAAGTATGAGCAGCCCAGGTGAAGTGTATAGCTTCAATATCTTCTTGCTACTCTACTAGTAACCCTTCCACGAATACTGAGAAACAAAATTAAAAATGATCATGGAATAAACAGTGACCAGATACACTCTGAAATGCAATATTAGTGTCTAGTTCACGGTTACAATAGTGCAATTATATTTTTCAGAAAACAAAACTGTCTTTACACAATGGTATCATAAAATCATACAAACAAAAACCTCTGAATCAGTATTAACAACATATACTTACGGTTGGACACTAATTTGCTATCTATAGTTTTGGTCCGAGGTTTCATTTTCAAGAAAATTCACATTTTTCTATTCCATTTCTGCTTACAATGTACCTGAAAAAAAAGTCAACCAGGTAATTATTAGAATGCATATTTAATATGACAGTTTTACAATTGTCTGCAGATCATTTCTCAAGCAAGCAAATGCGATTTTATCACATTTGTTAATCCTTCCATGTAGCCAGAGAACGTGGGTAGTGACTCAGTTGCATGCCAGTCGAAATACAAACCTGGTTTAGAACAAACACTAAAACATTTTAAGCTTAAAAAACTATATGTTTATAGCACAGATGGCCAGTTTTGCGTATCAGGTATGTATTAGCTCTTCGCTAGTCAATCCTACGGACCGGCTGTCTCAATAGCTTTTTCTCTTACTGAACTTTAAAGATATGTCTGCTCTTTACTTAAATGCTCTTAGCCTCAATTCTGCCACAAAGCATTTCCAAGTTTGATACCTGAAAGTAACGTCTTGTGCCTTCTTTAATCAGTCTGTTATACTTTCAGAATTGACCACCCTGTGTAGGCGAGTTCTCAATCTGGTGAAAGGTACTGATCGTGCCCAACAAACTCTCACGTGCAAAATGCACAGCACAGTCAAACAGTCTTTTCATGTTTTTACTCTATCACAATCTTATACAATACTAAAATCTTTGCATCTCCAGTGCAATTAGTCACAGTATTTTAATTAATATTTTTATTCTCAGCATTATTCTGGTTAATCTATGCTTTACAGTAATGAATCATCAAACGACTATCTTCTACAAAGTTGCTAATGTATTGCTGAGTTGCAGTGAACATTGAACTCTGTGTTGCGTGTTTTGCAAGTGTGAGTTTGTCGTGCACGATCAGTACCTTGCTTGTTGTGAACAGTTCATAACAGCTGAAAGGATGCACTGCTTGATATGATCTGCCACCAGTTTAAGCAAGTTTTCCTCAAATATGGTGAGGGATTCCCTCACATTTGCAAAGGCCATACAGAATTTGCGTATCGTTAATAGCAAAACAATTCCCATGTGCTCATTTGACCCCATCACCAATGTAACACTCAAGGACATCTGCAATGCAGGACTACATCATAGCATTTTAGAACCACCACCATGTTAATTAGTATGCATTAATCTTATGAAATGAGTAACTTACACAGTTGAGTTCAATGTTCAAACACCACATATGCCCAAATAGGTGGTGCTGCAACAGGATTCCCACAATGCCAACCTCTTGCAAACACCTTTCTCGGAATCCGTAAGAATCCATTTTAAACAATGACACTTAACCTCCTACTCCTCATATTTCCAACATGCAAGTAATATGTTCACTAGATTTGAATTTGCAGTTGCACAAAAGAATTTCCTCAAGTCTAAATGGGATCTATCCTGTGCTCAAGGCTTCATCCTGAAAAGTTCTCAGTTACCTCAGATTAGCCTGGAAGGTTAAGGTATCTCCAAAATTTGAGCAATAGGTCAAACTAGCTGTTCCACACTGATACAACACTGTAGCAATATGAGAGGTATTTGCCACTAACAGGACGTTGCTGTAAACCCAAAAAGATGTTCTGCCTATCACACAGATGAGAAACATGGAATATGAATTTCAGTGTCATTGCGATGTCAGGTATATAGACCATAGATACCAAAGACTGGTAGATTGTATCAGATGGCATGCTCTTTTGGCTGTTTGTAACAAGCAAGGTACTGGCTATACCTAACCAACAGGTGTATACAATTCTGCAGATAGCTGATTTGGAAACGTTGTTTCCACTTTTGGGAGAGTCCAGAACCAGAAGGCAAAGTCTCAGAACAAAGGGGTCATCCATTTAAGTCACAGATGAGGGGATATTTCTTCTCACCGACAGTAGTGAGTCTGTGGAATTCTTTGCTGTGGACGCTGGGTCGTTTAGTACATCCAAAGCTGAGATAAACAATTTTCCAATCAGTAAGTGACTCAAGGGTTATGGGGATAAAGCAGGAAAGTGGAGTTGAGGATTATCAGATCAGCCATGATCTCATTGAATGGTAGAGCAGTTTCAATGGGGTGAATAACCTTCTTCTACTTATGTGTCTTATGGTATAATATTCTAAATGGACAACATTTGTTGGATAATCTCAAGTCTGCAAAGCACTTTGCTGATAACCAATTTAGTATCATCATTTGGGCTTGCAGAATAGCATACTTGCATGTTCTGGAAGCTACATATTAATACACTTAATATTACACACAGAACAAGTACACACACTGCGTCTGTTTCAGCTCAAAAACAAAATAGGTGACAACCATTAAATGATCAGTCAGTTCACCAAATCTGAAATTTAAACTAAGCCTAGCTATTAACTGTCAAACATTAGTTGACACATTCTCCATGACAAAATCTTACCAATCAACACTCTCCTCTTCCACAGTATACATGTCAGTTTTGCCCTTGGAATGGTATTCTAACCAACAGTCCAGATGAGTGCAAGAAAAAAAGCTTTAATAATTAATTTCTTTATTATTAACTTTTCCCTCTCCACTCCATTTTTAATGAAGATACCCAGTTTGTCATAGCCAACTCACTTCATGGTTTTCTTTGTTTAGCTTTAGGAACCCTAGCTTCAGATTAGACTACCTCTATTTCCATCCTAGTGAAGAATATGATCATGTTATAGCCATTTTTTTTTCATAAAGGACCTATCACAACAAGATTATTAATTAATCCTTTCTCATTGCACAGTACAAAATGTGGGATAGCCTGTTCCCTCGATGGTTCCTCAATGTGCTCCAAAAAAAAAGTGTTTTTTTTTGGGTAACTCAGACAGGAATTCATCGGCTACAGTATTAACACTAATGCAGCTTTTCCAAGTCTACGTAGTTAACCCATGATTATTGTAGCACCCTTGCTGCATGCCTCTGTAAATGTCTGTTTAGTGCCATCCTATTTCTTGTTCGTACTGTTAAGAGGACTTTACACACCCCTACTAATGTTTTCTGCCCCTTTTTTCTTTGTTCCACTCAGACTGACATCATATCTAGATTCCCTGTGCCAATTCTGTCTCAATTCTCAGGTTATGATCTAATGACGGAAATTGCTTGTATTCAATTTCCCTACTTATAAAACACAAAAGACCAGAAAGGTAACATTTATGAGAATTATTAATATTTAAACCAAGAGGTTCACTGCTCATCCATAGCCTTTCATTTTTTTCTCCATTGGACATCAACTAAACTCATGACATTTATTAGCCACTAAAATACAGAAAGCATAGGTGAACAACTTCTTCCATAAGCACCATCCAACTTGGGTATATAATCAACTATTCCTGGTTTATTTGCTAGTTAAAACGTTGAACTTGCCTATCTAGAAAAATTGCAAGTATAGTTTCAACACTTGAACTGGTGTGGTTCAAGGAAGCAGTTGCCCATCACTTTCTTAAGGGCAACTATAGGCTGATAATACATGCTGGCCATTTCATCCCAAATAATAATTTTAAGCAAACTTGGAATTCTTGATTTTCCTCTCTCAAAACGCATCCTTAAATTTCTTCTTCTTAAAATGCATCTGCCAATTTCTCTAAGTTATCCACATCCTCCTGAAGTAGCTTACACTTTACTCAGTTAGCCAAACATCCCACTTGAGTGGTCAGAAAAATTCAATGTTATGCTTCCCATAGCCAAGTCTAAATCATTTAGATTTACACCAAAAACAAGTTACACCATTGACAGTCCTCCCCAAATCTGGGCAAATATAATATACAAGGTTTCTAGTAATCTGCAACATGTATCCTCTGCAAATGGCTACCTGACTAAAAGGTGTTTACACAATTCTTATAACATATAATGTTGTAGTTCCAGAAAATATTTTTACATTAGGTTCAATATGAATACATGCAATACATTCTGAAATTACTTCGTAAACAGTGAAGTGAATAGTTAATTTTTTTGATAACATTCTAACACCCTCCTAGATTTAAATGATCATGATAAGGTAGAGACAAGATCTGTTTAACAAAATTGCTGAATGCCATATGATATTAGCAGTAGTGCCAGTTATCAGTAAAACACAACAAAATTTAGATAAAAATCTTGATATCCTTCAAGATTTGCTGGTAAACACCAAAATGACTTTTTGTCTCATGCTTTGACTTCCTAAAGCCTGTGCACCATGTAGAAGGCAGTCAGGATTATGATGGAATATCTCACTTGTCTAGATGAATGCAGCTCCAGCACCACTCAGGAAGCTTGACACCAGACAGGACAAACCAGCCCACTCAATTGGCACCACATCTACAAACCCATTCCCTCTGGCACCAATGCTCAGTGGCAGCAGAGTGCACAACCGACAAGGTACATTGCAGAAATTCATAAAGGCTCCTTAGACTGAACATTCCAAATCCACAACCTCTACCATCCAAAAAGACAAGGGCAGCAGATACATGGAAATTGTATCATCCATAAAGTCCTCTCCAAGCCACTCAACAGCCTGGCTTGGGAATATATCACAGTTCAGTGTCACTGGATCAAAAGCCTGGAACTCTCTTCCTAATGGCATTGTGATTCTACTGACAGAAAAATGGACTGCAGTGCTTCATGAAGGCAGCTCACCACCGCCTTCTCAAGATCAACTAAGATAAAGAATAAATGCTGGCCCAGCCAGCAATGACCACATTCCACAAATAAAAAAATCCAGAAATTGAATAGCATGACAATCATATGACTAGATTCTTAATCTTGGACGAACCATCTATACAAGTTTAACCCATCACAACAGGGAAAAATACAAATTCAGTTTCTAAAAATAAAATGAAAATTAAAAGCTCTTAATGGGGTTGAAAAATAAGCAATCATGAAGCTAATGGTTGTAAAACCCAACTAACTCACAAAGGCTCTTTTAGGAAAAAGCAACAGTCTGGCAAAGTGACAACTGATAATTGTTATGGCCTGGCAACACATCAAGGAAAAGGGTCAGCACTGTCTTCTGCGGGCATCTAAGGATGGGCAATAAAAGTTCACTTTGCCTAAAATGACCAGATCCCAAGCATTAATTGTTGAAATGCTGCATGTGATATCTAGACAATGTGTACATGGGATCAAGATACAAGTTAATAATCAACTCGTGGCCAATTATGGTTGGGCGAATTTCTTCACACCCAATGTTTATTTTTCATGAGAGTAAGCCAATTGCTAAAAATACATTTGCTGCACTTAGCAGCAAAAAAGGTGAATACCATCATACTGCAGTGTTTATCTTTTTCCAGATCATTCCAGTTACTAAATTGATGAGGGAAAGAAACATTTTAAATCCAGTTATTCAGTTGTGGGTCTCTAGCAACGTGACAAAACTAATTAACAAGGCAAATAATTATCCATATGGTTAGTGACTCTATAAATCTGGAATACGGGGGTACAATCTAATGGTGTATCTGGACCATCAGTCATTCCTTAAATTATCCTGTTGAAGATTGCCCAAGATAGGAGTTCACAGTACTAGGGTAATATATTAGGAGAAATTGAGGATTAGTCCATACACAAAAGACAGAGATTTGGGATTAATGGGCTTTTTTTTCCCAAGTAGGGAAGATATAACTAGTGAAATGCCACAAGGATCAGGAGAGGGCCTTAATTATTTCATAGCTATATTAATGACTGGGAGAGGGACAGGAGGAGGGGGCATATAAATTATCCAAATTTGTTGACAATACAAAATAGGCAGAAGGGCATGTTTTAACAAGGACAAAGACTCTGCAAGGAATTGTAGATAGGTTGAGCGAGTGGGCTAAAGCTTGGCAGATGGAGCTTAACATGGGGAGGTATGAGGTCACATGCTTTGGTCAAAAGAATAAAAAAGTCAGATGATTATTTAATGGAGAGTGATCCAAAAAAGTGCAAATAGAGGGATCTTCGTATTTTATGCATGAAACAACTTAGCACGTACATGCAGCTAAGTAATCAAGGTGGCAAATGTAATTTTGAGCTTTAGTTCTAGGGTCTTGGTGTTTAAAATCAGGAAGTTTTGTCATAACTATACAGGGTGTTAGTGAGACAGCACCTGGAGTACTATGCTGAGTGATGGTCCCCGTATCTAAGAAAGGATATCCTGACATTAAAGCAGCTCAAAAGAAGTTCACTGGAATATTAGGGAATTGAGGATGATGAGGCACTGACATGAAAAAGCAGAGCGGTCTGTAGAAGATTTGTCATTATCTTGTTGACTAGTGGGACAGGCTTGAGGGGCTGAATGGCCTACTCTTCTCCCCATTTCTTATGTTCTTATAAGAATATGAATTGTAGTTGCAGGAGGCAACCATTTGGCCTATTTTCTCTGTCATCCCCCTATTATTTCATTGACAGAACATTATGTCTTAATCTTACTGTACTACTGTTTTCCTTGTAACTCTGCGCATCGTTTCTACTTAAATAATTATGCAATGCCCCCTTGAAGGCATCAACTGAATGTGCCACCACCAGGCGATGCATTCCAAATTACTGACTGTGTTAAAAAGTTTATCCTCTCACTACAGTCACTTCTTTTGCAAATTAAAAATTGTACATTCCCAGTTTTGATTCTTTTGAGTGGGAACAATTTCTTCATATCTAGTCTGTCCAGATCATTTATGGTTTTGAAACTTTCCATCAAATCTCCTTTTAGCCTTCTCCTCAATGGAAACAGTGCCACCTTCAATAAATGATGTAGCTTCTTATCCCCTCAATCCATTCTCGTACCTTTTCTGCATTCTCTGAAGTGTATTCACATCCTTCCTGAAATGTGGCAAGTAGAATTGCACGCAATACTCCAGCTGAAATCTAACTGGAGTCTTACAAGTTTGATGCAATCTCACTGATCCTATAAAGCCTTGAATACTGTATGCTTTATTATCTCATCTCACCCTCTTCTGCTACTATTAGTTAGCAATACAAGTATACATCCACGTCTCAGTCCTCCGACACATGCTTTACAATACCATCCTCTATTTTATATTTTTTTTCTCTCTATGTTCTTTGAACCAAAATATATGACCTCTCATCTCTGTGCATTGAACTTATCTGTCACCTATGTCTCTATTCCACCAACATGTCAATGTCCTTTGAAGCTTGACACTGTCCTCCTCACAACTTATAAGGCTTCCAAATTTTTCACTGTCCACAAACTTTGAAATGATTTCCTCTATGTTAGGGTCTCAATCATTCATATAGATCGAGAAAAGCAATGTCCCAAAAATGATCCCCAGGGAACTTCATTACAAATCATCCCCCAGCCCAAGAAAAATCCATTAACCATTACTCTCCGATGTCACTGTCTCTTTTATCAGGTCTGTTGTACGATACCGCAGCAAGTGCCTTTTAGAAGTGCAGACACACCATATCAGCACCATTATCCTCTTGACCATTGGTTACCCCACCAAAATAAAAATCCAGCAACTTAGATAAATGCAATTTACCATTAAGAAACTCATACTGGCTTTCCTTAATTAACTCTCATCTTTCAACATGGCTATTAATTTTATGCCACATTTTTATTCTTCAAAGTCTCCCCCCCTGCCAAAGTTCAACTGGCTCAAATGTGCTTATCTGTATACCCTTTTTTTTTGAGAAGTTTTTTGCAATTCCCAAAGTCCTCTGGTAGCACCCAGAGGCTAAGCAAGATAGAAGAAACTATGGCCGGTGCCACTGCAATTTCCACTCATTCTTCCTTCAGTATAATTGGATCCATCTCATCCTGTCTGGTGTCATGTCAGGTTTTTGTGCTGGCAGTTTAGATGGTTGCCTTGGATAAACAATTTTGAACATTTCTGGTGACTAAATGTTCTCCTCTGGCACCCTGCCCAGGTAGCATCAACTTCTTGCTAAGGACAGATGCAAGGTATTCACTTAAAACCTCTGCCATGTTTCCATCCATAAAATATTGCTAGTGAGCTCAGCTGGCTTGACAAGTGCTTTATCACGCAGTGACGTCAACATTGGGGATTTAATTTCTGCATCGGCTGAGGTTACAACAAATGTCCCATCTCCTCAACCTCATCTGTCACCACTACCAGTGGTCTATCACTAATGGGAGAGCAGCTCTCCGGGACAATGGTGACTTTACCTTTTACCCTCTTGGTCCCTCTCTTCTTACCATCCCTTTACAAATTATGTGCCTACAGAATAGACTTTGGGATTCCTATTTATGTCAGCTGCCAATCTTTGTTCATAAACTCGTATATGCTATAATAATAAACTATATGCCTTGCTATAATGTCATAATACAGAAATAATGTTAAAATTCTTCAGCATTTGCTCTCACGAATGGAAAGAAGATCTTTAACATCCCTGTAAAGTTTCTATTTCGGCAAATCAGCATACTTCTAAAGGCAGCGATGACTCAATGACAAAACTTGCATTATATAACCTTCACAATCACGAGATCGAGCAAAAAAATTGTAGTTTTGTTACAGTACTGAAGCAATCTTTCAAAAACTACAGTGTGTAGCGACCAAATAAACTTTTATTTGTGATCCTGAATGAGGAATTGGCCACAGTAAACACGGCTACTCTTCTTCGAAATGATGCCGTAAAATCACTCATTTCCACTTGAGACAGCAGGACGGAGATTGGGTTAGAAACCTCCAAATGTTCCTACGAAAGAAAAATGTGGACATATATTTGCGAAGGGCAAAGTGTACGAGGGTGAGAGATTGCAGGGTGGAGGGAAAGGGGGAGTGAGAGATGGTGGGGAGGGGAGAGAGAAGGGAGTGAAGAGAT